TTTTGGAAATGACGATCGGTCGTCTAATAATCACGCTTTTTCCGGTACATCTTTGCAGCGCAATGGTGCCGCCGTGCAAGGCGAGAGTGTTCACGAAGAACAAACAAGTGATCATTTCGACCCTTTGCCCAACGGGGATAGGGGTGGCAGGGGAGAACGTGGTCGTAGTGTCCATAGGTGAGCTGTTGGTAGAGGTAGAGGCAGCAGGGGTAGGGGAAATAGGGCTGGAAGTAGCACTAGCTCTTTGGATCCAGTCAGAGCGCTCTGGATCCAGTGTCCCAAAGAGGTGGGAGTGGCCGCGGTTCACCTAGATACCTGATTGGGCAGATAGCTGGTCAACTGATCAAAAAATAGGCACATGCATTTTACTATGGCACAGTAATATAGTAATAATTTACTATAGTTACTAATAGTTTTACTGTTGATTTCCTCTTTTCCTGATCATTTGGAATGAGAATAAAAAGACAAAAAAAACAACAAAAAAACATGCAAATAAGTTCAAACATCCACTCCATATATATTTTTTCCTGAATATTACTGATGAACTGATCAAAAAGTAGGCTACTGTTCACATGTGTTTTACTACTATATAGTATAGTAATATAGTAACAATTTAGTTCTTTCTCCTGTATTATTGTTGGTTTCCTCTTTTCTGATCATTTGGAATGAGGATAAAAAGACAAAAAAAACATGCAAATAAGTTCAAACATCAATTCAATATCTACTATTTCCTGAATATTATGAAATTCAAGATGGCCGCCCCTGATGACATCATAATATGCAAATTAGATGAGTATATTTACACCCCACATAAACTTTCAGTCATGCCCAACATTTTTCTAATTTATAGTAGATCTCTATCTTTAAGCCCTTTCAAGCCACAAGCTTTTGAAATCTTAATGTCAAAATCCAGCATTTTTTCCCAAAAAAAACCTGGCACCTAAAGGGTTAAAGGGATAGTTTGCCCAAAATGACAATTCTGTCATCGTTTACTCACCCAAAAGAAGATATTTTGAAGAATGTTTGTAACCAAACAGCTGATAGTAGCCATTGACTTCCACAGTATGGAAAAAAAAAACACTATGGAAGTCAATGGCGACTATCAGCTGTTTGGTTCCCAACATTCATCACTTGAGGGTGAGTAATGATGACAGAATTTTCATTTTTGGGTGAACTATACCTTTAATTAATTCCTAATAATCTCACAAGCCTGTACTCAGCATGCATATATCGAATTTTCCTGTAATTGCAGGTTGATCACACCATCATAATGTACCTGGTGGGACCTGATGGCCAGTTTCTTGAGTACTTTGGACAGAACAAGAAATCCGCTGAGATCTCATCATCCATTGCATCCCACATGAGGAAGTACAAACATGGAAAATAAATCAAAGGGCACTGCTTCAACAACGACCGAGTGTCTCACAGCATTGTCATTGCTCTGTGAAATGGGGTTTATTTATATGAGGTGCAACTCTGATTTAAGAAATCAAAGACTTTTGAAGCATTCCCCATTTTGCTGCAGCCCAACACAGTAACCTTTGTTGATCTTTGTTATTCATTTCCATAAACAGTAATGAAATTCAAATGATTCAACTTCAATATAGTATGTTTTGATTGATATTTTGTAATGCATTGCATTGATGAATTGTGTATTACACGTTGCATCACAAATTATATCATTAAATAAATTCATAATATATATACATTTTATTAATCACATTTATTATCAGAGTGAAGACTTTCAAATTACCAATTTGTAGGCAAAATGTTTGCATCTGACAGATGATTGACTTTCATCTTTTTACCACACAAAAAGCATGTTTCACCACTATTTTACTCAACAATAGGCTAAAGTGTGACTGTAGTCAATAAGTCTTCCATCAATCACAATCAATAAAGAACAAACAGCTTAGAAGGTTCTATCAGCATTTGACCTGTTCCAAAAATTCCCATTTACAAATTTAAGAGGATTTTGATATTGTACATTTAGAATACATTTAGGGCCTCTGTCATTTTCATGTGTGAAACAAACTTGTTCCCCATTTCATTTTTGCTATATGGAATACAAAAACTTTGAAGCTCAATATCTCAAAACCGCTCAGTGTTACAGGGCGAATGAGACGTGAGGCGTGTGAATCCATTTGCAAGCTTTATTTAAGGACGTGGTCAAAACAGGCGAGGGTCAGGCAATGGCAAACAGGTATATAAAAGACAAAACAAGAGCAGTCCATTAAACAAGCGAGGGTCAGTCGACGGCGAATGTAATCCAACAGGGCGAGACTAGAGGAATAATCCAGGTACAAGGCAAAAGTCAGAACACGAAGAAACACAGACAAGGCAAGACTAAGCTAAGACTAGGAAACCAAGCAGGCTCCGTAAGGTAGCTATCAGCTATAGCAGTGATACACGCTAAACAATACTCGGCGATCGGAGCAGGAACTGAGTGGGTGTTATGTAGTGTGTGTGATTGGTCTCAGGTGAGCGTGTGATTAGTGAAATGGTGCATGGGAAATGTAGTCCGTGGTGAGTTCACAGACGGCCTTCATAGCTGTGACGGGACAGGCAGAAAGTTCATAAATGGCCTCCTTGGCCAGAACAGGACAGGACGAGAGTTCATAAGATCTGCAGCGAACGCCGCCACCTCTGGAGGTTCTGCAGCGAATGCCGCCACCTCTGGAGGTTCTACAGTAGGACCCTCAGGATACAGGAAGAGTTCAGTAATGGTTCCTTTGACCATGACAAGACAGGCTGAAGGTGCGTTGCTTGACTTGACTTGGCTCACGAAGATCAGCTGTGACTTGACTTGCCTCATGAAGATCAGCTGTGACATAACGAGACGTTGTTGTGGCCGCCATTTTGCGAACAGGGTCCGCTGTCGCCGCCATTTTGTGAGCGTGCTCCAGTGCGGCTGCCATTACAGGAATGAGTGCGGTGTCGCTTTCCTCCGCGACACCCACCGTGAACGCTGAACCAACAGTCCACAAAACATGATCCAAAAAACTACTTAGTGACAAACGAGGACCTTCATGAATCACTCTTGATTTTACAGGCTGGTTAAGGCCATCACAGAAAAAGTCAATTAACATACAGTCCGGTAATTCTGAGCCATTAGCCAAAGCCAAATATTCCTCAATGTAACCCTCAAGTGATCGTGTGCCCTGCTTGAGAGCTAGTAGTAGAATCGCTGTGTTCATACCTGGCCAAAGTCCTTCGGTAAAGCCGCTGGATCCTTGTATGGCCGAGTTCATTCTGTTACAGGGCGAATGAGACGTGAGACGTGCAAATCCATTTGCAAGCTTTATTTAAGGACGTGGTCAAAACAGGCGTTAAAAAGTTTTGGCATTAAAAATGTCCAGGATTTTTATACTTTATGTGATGTTTAATGTGCACTCTTTTGTTAATGTAAAAAAGGAAATCCATCATACTGTTCTGTCACAGCTCCTCCTCTTCCTCCCCCGTCTTCTCTTCCATCTTCTTAACCCTTTGCTTTACCCCAGCCATTCCACCTGACAGACTTCCTCAATTTTCCCCACGGTGAATGTAGTCTGGAGTTTGTTTCTGGTTCTGCTTACTTTTGTATGAATAAATATATATTTTAACTTTTATGCAAGCCTCTTTATTTTTTGTGAAATAATTCAAGGGTAATTTTATTGACCATAAAGTCCTCAACCACATTACATGATGTTTTATTGGGGTTTTTTTTGTCAAAGAAAATACTCATACTCCTGTGATGAAAACAGAAGATATGCTTGTCTCAGATAAACAGCTTTTTAAATTATTCCTAAACAAATCCGAGTGACTGCTTCTGCCAATATGTGTAAAGGAGGTTACATAAGAGAAGTGAGTTATGGTATTGATTTGTTCATCTTGTCTATGTTTAACATTACTTTCTTATTACAACCACAGTGTGGCATTTTAGAATGATTTTTGTTCATTTACAAGACAGATACTACAATATTAAAGCGATAGTTCAACCAAAAATGAAAATGACCCCACCCCATTTACTCACCCTCAAGACAACCTAGGTGTATATGACTTTATTCTTTCAGAGCAATACAGTCAGAGATATATTAAAAAATGTCCTGACTCTTAAGGTGCAGACCTTTTTATTTAACCGTCTGGACTTTTGGCTTTGCCTTCTAAGCTTTTTCCTGTAATTTTGTAGAATTTGCTCTGTGTCCTGATTTTTCCGTTTTAAAGTCCTTGGAGACTCTAGGTTGTAGCTGTGATCAACCTGAAAGCAGTCATGTTCCGCGTATTTAGCAGTTGAAGCTGCATAACTGTGATCGTGATTATTGATATCCACTGTTACAGCAGTGTCAGCTTGACAGATGTCATTGCCAAGTGGGATTTTCCTATTGGCATCTTCAGCCAGGGTGGCATTGCTGTAATCGGCAGCAGATTTCACGCTAAAGTGGCATTTGTCAACTGGGGAATCCTCTTTAGTGTCCCCTGACACTTTGCACAATAAGAGGGAGGAGTCGCTTCGAAAAAATCTTACGTCTTACCCTCTTACCCTCGGACCTCACCAGATGACTTGAGAAGATGGTTGGGACTGCTGTACTCTTAAGGTGACGATTCCCCTAAAGAACCAAAATAGTAAAGAAAAGGAAATACAGAAAAAACCATACTAGATGCCATTGAAATGTGTTATCAATCTCTTGAGAAAAAGGCTGTCCATTATCAAATGAGGATATCAAATTAAAATTTTAAGTTTGAATATTTTTCAAATGTAAAATAAAAATGCTCAGCCAGGCGAAGGCATGCACTTCAAAATGAGCGCTGCAAAGACGAGATGATGTTGTTGGTTTCCAGTCCTTCCGTCTCATGTTCACTAACCATTGTTTCAGTCTTGCTGCTTCATGCTCACCTAAAGGAGAACGATAAGCAAAAATATAAGCAGTTTTTATCATTCATGTTTTAATTAGCTGCTTTGACAAATGGTCAATGCAAGATGCTTCACATTATTTTCATAACTTCTAAGTAATTCATTAAAATCCTTTGTAAACATAAGGATAATTTTTCAATAATAATAATTTTTTTGTCATCTAATCATTAAAATAATTGCAAAGGAACTGTTGATGAAAAGTAGCTTTTTGGCTAATTCGGTGCATTTACAGTTATTTTAATTTGTATTACTGCACACTGTCCGTTTTACTACTACTACTACTAATGCGTAGGGATGGGTATCGTTAGGATTTTATTAATAGGTTACTAGGCTACTACTATTGTCATTTTCCTCTTATCCTCTTCTGTTAATTTGGTTAACTCAGAACATAATTGGGATTGATTTGTATTTTAAATATAACTAAAATAATAATATAGCCTAACTAAATGTGTCTCGAGCAGCAATAAGAATTTTTACAACAGCAAAATCACTATATCAACTCAATAATCAATAACGATCACTTGATTTTTTACGAGTCTTTTAGCTAACTTATTTAGCTGGCCCATAATATTTGCTTATAAATTAATTAGCTTATACATTTAACCTACCAGAAAAAAACTCAAAGATCCATCGGACCTGCCAGATTGGTTAGTACAGTTTACTGCAGAACAACCCATTATGTCGATGTGAAATAAAGAGTTATGGAAAATTAGGAAATGAAAGTTATAGCTCCAATCTCCTGAAGATCCCGAAAAAGGAGTGGGGGTTCAATCTTCAACTGGCTGGCAGGAGCCGCCACCAAGAGGGTCTAGCTGCAGCCTTGCACTTGCACTCTCAGACGTGCCCTCTCAGGCTTGCATTCTCAGACACTTGCGCTTCCGCTAGCGACGTCACTTGCAGTCTTTTATTTTGTTCTATTTATTGATTACTTTTTGTTTGAATCTCTCAACATTTTACAACAGTAGCCAGGTGGTGAAGACAAGAAAAAAGTCACTTGCAATCTTCACTTGCACTCTCCGACACCTGCGACGTCACTTGCAGTCGACACAAATGGTGCGTGTTGCCA